ATTTTCCCGACGCGGCCATTTGTAAAGCTGCCTTATCTGTGAACACAGGCATTTATTTCGATACTCCCGCAATCGGAGAATTTTCCATCCTCTGGAATTTGATGTTTTCAAAAACATCGGAACCTTGGAAGATAGCCACTATAATGACACTGAAAAACAACGTCATATTTTGAGGCAAGGAGTGCAATGATGAATTGTAAACAAATCTTACTCAAGGAAAAATTGTACAATAAAAAAATGTACTAAATTTGAATAAATCATTTGTTTAAATGTTTAATACCAAAATTAAATATTAAATATTTACCAAGTGTAACGACATTATTTATTTGGTATATTAAAAATTGAGATTTCATTTAACTATCATTTTTTTAAATATTAAAGTAAACCTTTAAGTTGGTGTTAAATAAATATTTATTAAAACTTGATACATTTTTTCTCAGCGTAAAATTAAAAAAAAAATAGACCCACTTTCTAAAGATTGAAAACATTGCATTTTCGCGACACTATATGTTCTCGAAGTTGACCGAGAAATAACGGCGATAAAGATAGCCGAGGAAAAGCGTATGTAATAAAGACCGGTCTTAAAAGTTGCTATAGTAGAACTTACGACACGATCCATCTTGCGCGAGAAATCGATACGTCTCCTCGCAGCTACTTTGCTGCGACTTTACACTACTTTACAACGAACGGGTACTAAATCAGCACCTGTCTGTAATTAGCGTTCAGAAATAGCTCGCGTCACGTTACTTCTAAAGATTTCGCGTTGTCACAATTTTCCGGAGACGTTTTTAAGAGCCATCGCATGATTTATATCACGCGGCAGAGTCGACCGCGTTTTTTTAAATCGCGAATAGAACGACACGTGTTGTTCTCTCTCCATGCGATGATAACTGGATTTAAAAAAAAAAAAATTATCGTAGCCGATAATCTTTTGCATTAAATACATGCACGCACTTTTGGAAAAGAATCAAAATTTATTTTTACTACGCGCGACGTAGAGCCGCGAGGTACGCATGTTGCCTCCGTGAAATGCGAAGCGTTTGCGACGAATTACGCTGCCGGTCACTTCATTATTATTCATGCGATCCTCAAACTAGTCTAGGAACTCCTTATTTATGCAGTAGCAATTAAACCGCGCGTGTATGCATCATCGTGCTATTTCTGCCGGCATTATCACGCATCTCATTGCCTTGCATTATTTGATGCGTCAGCGTTTACGAAACTTGTGCAACCTTGAGATTTCTGGAGATAATCCGATAATTAAGCCGGGACGTAACTTGTTTTTGTTACGTTAACTGAAAGAATACGTTTTAATACTCCAGTATATTGTCTTAACGCTCGTGCGATCAGGTAAACTGTAAAGAAAGAAATTGGCTAGCTAGTAAAATATTTCAGTTTTTATCGAAGGCTAGAATAGGAATTAGAATGTTTTAAAGTTCATATTTGTAAAATAACTATATTATATTCGTTCGCATTTATTAATACGTATGTAATTTATTAATACTGAGAGAATTAAGCTTTTATGTTGTTTTCTATTTAAAGGCTGATCAACTCACAGAAGAACAAATCGCAGAATTTAAGGAGGCGTTCTCGCTCTTCGATAAAGACGGTGATGGTACTATAACTACCAAAGAATTGGGCACGGTAATGCGGTCCCTTGGTCAAAATCCCACAGAAGCCGAACTACAAGACATGATTAACGAAGTAGATGCAGATGGTATATATCTAATGTAGCTTTTCAACGCATGTCAATCGTAAATTATAAATTATTTTGTACACAAAAATCAATTGTTTCGCTACATTCCTCTATTTCCACTTGCGAACGCTTCTGTTAAACGTTAATATTATGTTTAATTTTATGTTTATTTATAATTCTTTCTGGAAGAGAGCTTGTTTTTCTGTCGCAAGACTTCGCTTCTGTCAAAGCTTCTTTTTTTTCTTAAAAAAGAAAAATAAACAATTTCGATAGAATCGACGTTAAAAATCTTGAAATTCTAGGTAACGGCACAATCGACTTCCCGGAGTTCTTGACCATGATGGCGCGTAAAATGAAGGACACGGATAGTGAGGAAGAGATTAGAGAGGCCTTCAGAGTGTTCGATAAGGATGGAAATGGTTTCATATCCGCGGCAGAACTTAGACACGTCATGACAAATCTGGGCGAGAAACTCACTGATGAGGAAGTAGATGAAATGATACGGGAGGCCGATATCGACGGCGACGGCCAAGTTAATTATGAAGGTTGTATTGCATTGCTTGATCTATTAATTAGTATAAAATAAAACTTATTGTCGATATATCGCATGTAAAATCTTTTAAGTATACGGTTTTTGAAAGAATAATTGTTGTGCCTATTTAATTTATAATTTTAATTAAAATATCGATGTTGGAGAGATATTAAAAATAAAATGTTTAGATTATAACAATTGAATGAAATTCTAATTATACGTACGCCAACACTTCCTATATTCATGTAAACAACTTTTATCAACAAAATCGTTTTTCTTTTGCAAATTAATGCAATTCTCAATAAAGAAGTTTGTACAGTTGGGTTCACGCGTAACTTATCGTAACTTCTTCATTTTTGACGTCATGATAAGAGATATCTGACTATTTACCTTTCGTCATTATTTTACCGAAACCTGTCATATTTTGCAGACTTAGGTATAACGTAAACTAATAATACGCACGTAACTAACGAGACATTTCTTTCGTTGTATTTTTCAGAATTCGTCACAATGATGACATCAAAGTGAATGCAACCTGTGTAACGGAAGAACTCGCGACTCGGAGTGGTGTTGACGTATTAAATAATTCAAGAAACAGAGAAAAAACATATGTAACAAAACGAGAATCAACCAGAAAGTGACAAATCTTGTATCAGGATATGAAGATGTCTCTATAAAAGCGCGAAGAGTCAACGTCCGATACCGCGTTAAAAAAAAATCATCGTTTAACGATAAGTAATACAGGGCAATTAATTGTTTAATTAAAGAGTTATACCACTAAAATCATTATCTCTCAAAACACAAATATTTACGCGTGTATACATACACATACACACATAACAATAACTCGTTACACGATACACATAACGCAACACGCTCGAAGAGTATACACGTACACATATATACACATTCACTCGGATGTCTTATTTCCATTGGATAAAACAAGTTTGGAAGTGAGATAACGCGAAGACACACAATTGCGCGCGCATGTGCACCAACGACAAGAAAAAAAAGTGCATTTTCCACTTTCCTCTCTTTCTCGACTGCCCCTCCCCTTCCTTCCCTCTCCTCTTGTCACACCCTTTAGCACCATCGCCCTTCCCCTCCTCCTCTTTACGCCTCCATCTACCTTCATTTCCCGGAAGTTTTTTCATGAGAATGGTATGTCGAAGAATTGTAATTTCTCTTTACAAAGGGAGAGGAAATGTGTGTTAAGGGACAAAGTATAAATCCGATGTAAGATAATATTAAAAGCAGCAAAGGTTTATTTGCCAATCGAGAGAAAGATTCATCTCGAGAATTCCTTCGTTCATTTTTTTTAATAAACGAGATACGTGTATAGTGAATGATGACATTAGGATATGTAGCTGCTAAATAGATGATGATGTCTCTACCGTTAAAAATGCATGCACATGTACAAATGTTTGTTTGTCTCTGTGAGAGAGAATTCGGCCTGGACCGATCGTTTTCCAGACAAAGAGAGAAAGAGAGCGAGAAAGAGAGAGTATAAATACGATGCGCTTCGGCCTCTGGGTTATTGATGACGACTTTAAATGCAAAAGCTGTGCTGGACCCCTCGATGCCTCACAAACGAATAACTTAATTTATATAAGTAACGAGCGAGAAAATTTATAAAAAAAAGAGATGAAAGAGAGCGAGATGAGATAATGGGAAGAAAGAATTGGAGGAGAAGCTTCGAGGAGCTCAGACCTAGTGCTTTCGCGCGCGTCGCGTCTCGCGAGACGGGATATGATCTGTCATGCGGATGACGTCGCGCGAACGCGGACGAGTCGCGACGCGATCGATGGAAAGCTCCAGGATCCGAAGTCTCGACATTCCTATTTGAAAAAAAAATAATAATAAAAAAGAAAAGTCTCTTCCTTACGCTTTGAATCAACATCATCCAGCCTCTCGTGCTCGTGCACACGGGACTCACACGTACACGTAACGATTTACGAACTATACTTACGCGAGAAACTATACACACGAAAGATTATACACACAGAGCAAAAAGAAAAAAAGAGAAACACTATAATACTATATTCACAAAGTGCGTTTTGCCTCCAGTTCCATTTTAATCTCCTATTTGTAAACTTGCCTTCCACTCTAAGGGAAAGCCTTACATACATGCGCGCAAAAAAGATTTTAAAAAAACTAAAAAAAAAAGAGAAACAACGTCGACACCACTTTTGTTGATATGTAAATCTATGGAGAAATAAAATAGGGATGGGGGATTAAAGGAAGTAAAGGCCACAGTGAGATCGGTGCATTACTTTTCTTCGCCCAGGGGTGCGTGCCAGTCTCGTAAAAACGGAGCCAACCAGATCGGAGAAACTGGTGTGATTTTTGTGCGATCCGTACAATATAATGTTACTTAAGAACTTGAGAGCAAAGAACATAAATGCCGTACAGCGTAAACATCATGCGTGTCGGTGGTTCAGTCATAATATATATGTAATATATATATATATATATAAAATAATTTACGAAGAAATTAAGAAAAAAAAATGAAAGAGATAATTCCTCCACAGTCCTTTATTATTTAATATTGAAGTGAACAAAATGAGAAGTACTTGTATTTCTGGTGACCTAGATCGCATTGATCATTAAACAAAAAAGAAAAAAAGATAAAAAAAAAGTAAAAAAGATAAAATAAATATATCCTCATTTTTAGGTCACAGCTACTCGATTCGTTTCCTTCATTACTAATGGACCTCTCGTTTCAGCAACCATCTCTTTTTGTGTTCGATGGCATCTAGATACTTTGCTATGAGAATATTTCATTGTGTCTTTGTGAACAGGATCCACTTTACATATCTCTGACTTTTCTCGCTACCCTCGAAAACTTTTGAGAAGAATAGATATAGGTTACAAGAAAGTACGGTATTAATTGTAATTAGGAACTCTCGCTCCCCATTAAACACCCGAAAAAAAAATAGGGGGAGAGAAAAAAAAAGCACACATTGGATCTATTTGTAAACTGTGGTTATTCTGTGTCCTGAAGTATATTTCCACACTTACACTCTTTATTAAGAATGAGAAAGATTTGTCAACACACTCGTTTTGTAAAAGTGATCGTTAGTATTCGACAGGCATCTGTATCTAAATGCTTCCAAATCCGCTTCGTTTCATCGAACACTGATACCTAGCGATTAAGTCTCTTACGTTACAAAGACTCTATTCCAGTATTTAATATAATAGTAATTTTATATCCGTATCGCAAAATCTATTTATTGAAAGAATTTTCGCGCGCCGAGGATAGATAGATAGATAGAAAGAAAGAGAAAGCGAGCGAAAGAAAGAGTGGCGCATGGAAGCTCTTGTTGTGAACGTTAACATCGAGGCAATGCCAAATCTTTACTGAATAATATTGAAGCGTTAGCTCTTCTAATATTTAATTTAGCGTCCCCTCGATCTTTGTTATTGAAATACACGTTGTTGTTCTTAAAAAAAAATCGTTTATACCGTATTTGCGGAGGTACCAAGACACATCCTGCTTTTATCAAACGTTGTATTTATTTCGATGTGTACATATGAAAAAACGTAAAATTGATCGACGAAGTGAGTTTTCGTTCAATTATGCTAATAGCAATTTTTTAAATAAACAAATTCGTTGCGCTATAAACAAAGTGAGAACGTTGTACGTTGCAAAATGAGGAAATACTTTTTTTTTAATCAGATTATTTCGAGCATAGAGCTCTTTTCTTTTTTATTACTTTAACCAATTGTAGTCATTCGATTTTAACGCTCCTTAATTTCTCAGAACTTCTAATTCGAAAATTGTTTCTAGTGTATGTAAGTATATTCTCTGCCGTATCTCAAAGGCGTTCTTCACTTCTTGTCGTACATAAATAAAGCGGCACAGTTTGTATAAAGTGTTGATATTAAGTTAATAAATTGTTCCTATATACTTATATGGGAGCAAACTGGTGTTTATCTATAATACAAGCGATTTTATCTCCCTGACAAAAACAGCCAAGTGTATCTGACGTGACGGAAAAACTATCTCTTACGATACACGACTACGGAGAAACTTTACAACTGCATCATTCCATGCAATTATGCATCTATATGAAGAGATAAATTACGCATTGTTTTCGTATAATTACTCTTCAACAATTAACGGACGAACTTACACAAGATGTAGAATTGTCTTACCGAGAGATAAAACAGAGAAACAGTTTTTATTTTTTTTTTGAAAAATACTATATTTTTCATACATGACTTTTTAACCTCGTGTAACATAACAAAATTCGATGATTATGCAGATATGTTTTGCTAGCAGTGAACAATGCGTGCTCTCACGATACACATTCTTTTGGTAGAACTTTGAAACGCAGGCAAACCTCCTTCAGTAAGTTTTTCAATATCCTCACCTGATGCTCAGAACTCTGAAAATATATCTGGATATCAGTTACTTACTTTCGACGCATATTGGCTTTTAATATTTTATTTGTGCAAGTTTTTCAAGTATGTTAATTAATCACAAGATAGAGAATTTCTGGAAACTTAACTTTTTTTCTCTGTTCTGTAGCTAATCAACACGTTCAAAATATTTATCGTACGACATATGAATAAAATGTTAATGTTATACTTTTTTAGCGTCACGAAACGAATGCTCACCCCGTCAAGGGTAATTGTTGGTATGAAAGACACCCGCGGAACGAGGGAATTCGTCATTTCTCCGTACTTTGCCAGGAGTTCCTGCCCCCTTCCAGTGTTTGAACACTTCTTTATAGACTCCACGTCAACGGGTATTCGCTCGGCGCACGTTTTCATTATCCGTATCGGGTCAATATTATTCTCGATCATGCAGGCCACAAATTGCAGTTGTACCGATGGATCCTTAATAACATCGATGGAGCAAGCGTGTATAATGTTCGCCTGACACTCGATCGGTCCGTGCTGACATATGAACTGATACCCATCACTCGTTTTTGTCGTCTGTGTTGGAAATCGAATACGTAACTTTAGAAAGCTTGCCGTTTAATTCGATCCACTGATCTAATTGTCTCGATTAATGATTTCATTCTCGCGATATATTTAACCGCATTAACTTAAAAATATAACGCGGTTAATAACGAGTTTCCAGGTAAAATACAGAATCGTAATACCACAGAGCATCAACATGACTTACACTTGTTACTTACATAAGTAAACTTATAAATGACAAATAAAAGGTCATGATAAAGGTTCATATGATATTGATTTCTGTGTTTTACCAGGATTAGTCGCAACAGTTTTCTTACCTTCGCTTTACCATATGGCACCAACTCAACCTCTAAGTTTGTCAAGAGTTTTTGATATGTTGGATTTAATTGTTTTAAAACGAAACTACGCGAATCCGGGCATAACGCTTCGTAATACACAGCCGCATGTACTTTCTGAGAAGCTGGTCCAGCCTTTTCGCTCAATGGTGTCGCCGCTTGGTCCTGAAGTTCTACAATTAAGAAAAGAATGAAAGATATTAAAAGATTTTGATTTGAAAATATTCTGAGATGTCTATATCAATTAAGTGCTTTCAGGATTTTTTAGTTTTCAATTTTTATCACTGTTGAATAAACAATTGTTACCTCGATTATTTGGAATTGTTTTGCGCGAAAAAAATTGTGAATTGTTTTTAAATTCTACATAATATTTCAATATTCAAAAGACATTCCGAGTCATGGTATTCGAGATAATTTTTCATAAGAAAGAAAACCGCAATCTTCTTTTTATATAATTTCTAATAAAAACCGTAATTTCTGCGAATCGTTGCTTATCTTGTAATCAGGACAATGATAAATGGGAACTTCGATTTTTTTGTTGACTGACGTAAGCAGCGTGATTATCGTATATATTTAGCTTGATTTTTCTAATGCGTTATGTTTTTATTCGATTTTTCCTCCATGTGATTCTTGTTCGTTTTGATTTAAAAATACGAATAAGGCGTGTGGTGTATAAATAATAAACATTCAAGATTCTTCATTTTTTAATTTAATCTGTATTTATTATTACTAAAACAAAAATCATTATTTCGAGCTCGTGATATCCGAGGCTTAGCCTGTTTTTTTTTTATCAAAAAAACTTTGAATTATATACAGTGCAATAAATTGAAATGAAATAAACCATATTTGTCTCGTTTCAATTTACTACTTCTACGTGTACCAGTTTAGAAAGTTCATCCATAGAAGCAAACGTGCATATCAATTTTAGTACTTCAGGATTTTTCGATTTTAGAATTTAATTTATATCACTATGAATAACGAGATTGTTACTTAGGTTTTTTGGGATCGTTCAGCGTGAGAAATTGTGAATTCTTTTTATAATTTCAAATTTTACTTTAAATACGAAGCGCCACTATGGTCTGAATATTAAGATGTTGAACTATTATGTATATTCATTTGAATGAATTAATTTCAGAAATTATTATAATTGCGTATTTTTCGCAATAAGTTTATTACAGTTTTTTAAGATTAAATTTGGGAAATTCGAGAGGAAATAATTATTAATATTTCAGATTGATTGCGTTGAAAGTCCGACAACCATATCGGCACGCAATTATAATTTCTGAATTAATTCAATCATTTAAATGAATATATAATAGTTCAACATCTTGATATTCAGAGTGTAATGGCGCTTCGTATTTAAAATAATGTATCTAACATAAACGGTCTTATTTCCAATCTTATTATGGTTCAAATTCTACGTAAAATTTCAATGCTCGAGAAACATCCTCATTTTCCGCAAGAAAAAAAATCGCGATTTTTTTTATTTTTAGATCATAACATTTAATCATGCGTACTTTGCATCTGTCCTACAGTTCCGATCATAAGTATTTTTAACAATTAGATTCTTAATGATTTGACAGATGTTACACAAACTGAGTGATCGCGCTTCAAAACTCTGCAAGTGGAGGTTTATAGCAAATTTAATTAGACGCATTTATACACATGAAGTGTGTGTAGTGCGTCTGACATTGCAGAGCTGTATACTACATTTTAATCCAAATATAAAGTGAAATGTAAATATTTAGGATTATAAAATATATATTTTACCTAACAGCACAATCTCATGAAATATATTGGGTCATCTAAAAACCGCGGATACTTTGTATATCTTTACATTTTTTTTACGACTTTAATATGCTCACTGTATTCAATCGAATTCGCTACAAATTTAGACGAAAAGACCACGCCACTTCAAAAATCTCAGATATAACGACTCAAGCAAAACGACAAGTCATCATGATATCAAAATGATGTCAAAATGATTCTCCAACATGATCATTAAAAGTCATTTTTCAATCATTCACGGTTCATTTTCATATCATTTTGACGTTATCGTGAATTGTTCTGGAGATGTGCTCGTCGAATAGCAAATTGTGCAATGAGGTAATCACGAAAAATCCGGCTAGAAATATCAATCTGTGTGTCTTCAATTGTGAAGTACGTCGTTTTTATCATACTAACATATTGAAAAAAAAAATACATCTGTGCGATACAGATGTAAAGTGCATGATGTGCACATGTATCATTTATTCTTGTTTAACATTCAATGAACAAAGAATAAAATAATATATTATGTGTTTTATGGAATGCAGTCAGAGCCGTATAAACTAATATCGGATCACCGGACTACATTGGAAAAATCTTGTATTAATTGGAATTCTGATTGAAAATGAACAAATTAGAATTTTCTGATTAATAATCTAATAATATAATTCTAGCCGAGATAACCAAAATTCAGGCTGATAGATCAGAATCTTCTATTCACTTTGTCAATCTTTTTCTAATTCTTGGAAATTAGAAAAATATATGAAGTTAGTTGAATCTGGATTAAACTTAAACTACGTTGATAGAAAAAGTAAACAGTAAAAAAAAACCAATAATTCCTCGAATTTTTCGAAAAGATACTTTCTTTGAGAAGCATCCATTAAAGGCCTTTTGCAAAGGATCGACGGAGAATTAGTCATTATAAAACTTTTTCTCTAGAATATAGAAATATGAAAACTAAAAAAAGTAAAAATTTTTTGCACGTATGTGTGTATATGTACATACATAAAAATTTTCACATTTCCGTATTAGAGGGAAAAAAAGTACGTGACGACTGCTGAGATTTAACATTCCTCGTCGCGTTAACGTGCCTTGTATGCCCGCTGACAGGGAAAAAAAATCGATTTGTCGAACTCGCGCGAAGACAACGGCGGGTGGAGATCGAGCCTCGAGGTGCGCGCGACATGGTGCCGCCGATTGCCGCCTGTTCGACGATTCGGGATTCGGTAGATTAGGCTTGTTCGGCGGCGAAATCACAGGTAGCGTGAGGCTGTGAAGCAGCGACAGATGCAAAAGGCGTATGGGAGAGAGAGAGCGTAACGCGCGCGGCGCCTCTCGTTACTTCGTACCTGGCATGGCGGCGCCGTCCTCCAGGAACGCGAGCCAGATCTTGGAGGTCTGCCAGAGCAGCAGGCCAAGGACCAAAAGGAACACGAGGCGCCATCGAAAGCCTAACCCCATCGTCCCGACTGTTGTCGCGGCAAGAGACGCGCACGACTCTTCGCGCGGCGACGACGGCAGCAGCGGCGGCGGTGACGCCGCGACGGCGATCTCGTTACCGCGGGCTGACGCAATGTTTTCTAGTATCAAACGCGCCGGCGGCGACGGTCAGCGACGACCGACATAGCGATTCGACACGTTGGGACGCGCGCGAAATGACGGCGGGATGTTCCGTCGATATTCTGTTCTGGTCGATTGATCCAAATCGGTCCGGTCAGCCGAGTCCTCGTCCTCGAGCAATTCTTGCGGTAATTTAACCAACGCCACGCGTGCCAACGGGATTTAATGATCGCCACTGTGTCGAATCGAATGTTCTTTCGTTATTTTTTTCACCTTTTCTCGCAGCATCATCGCACGCAGCGTCTGCAGTGATGCGAGCACTCGTGCAGACGTCAATTATATTAAAGCCCCTATTGGAGAATGGAGTTTGGAATATTCGGAGATTTTAGAGTAATCGGAGTGCGCACTGAGAATCGGAGTCATCGGAGAGTAGATCTTCGCCAATCAGATAACTTTGAGCTCGGACTGCGTTGTATCGATTGAGCAGATTTTAATTCCTGATTCTCGCGATTTCCTTGATCTTCGAAAATATTCTTATTCGGATTTGCGTTTTGTTTTTTGTATTTATTTTTTCTAGACATATTCGATTTATTTTGTTGACTTTTGAGTACTGTTCTAATAGCAAATTCAATCACTTGTATTTACTCTTTCCGAGGTCACAAAACTTCTGATCATTAATTAAAATTTTACATTTATAAAACTATACTAATAAGAATTGTCAATAAAAATTATGTTATACAAATTTTACGTTATTAAATACCAACATTTAATGTATAAAAAAATTATATCCACGAATCATCTTTTTAAAAAAAAAATATACATGTTTTTTCTTGTAATTCAGATATAATTTTATTTGCATTATATTAGATAGAGATGGTCCATCAATTATCGCTCAATTGATGAATTTTCTATTGAAAATCCTATTCTGAATAGTATAGCACATTTATTCGGTAGCTAGTGAATGTGCTCAAGTATACATTTATTTATAATGGCAACACGATGTTTTAAGAAGGGAAACTTCACAGATTTATTTAATTTTTTTGTAATAATTTTAATTTCTTTAATAATTTGATTAATAAAATCAATATACATCGAGTTTCTGTCATTAATAAAGATTTTAGTAATAATAATGATATATGAGCAATTTTATAGTGTCACACTTTCTTCAATTTTAAAATGCAGATTGTCGTAAGGAAAATAAAGTAAGCGCAATATAGGTAATAAATAAATAAAATAGGTATAATATAATAGGAAGTAAATATATAAGTTTATTAGTGAGACAACAAATTATACATAAATGCACCTACAATTAACTTCTAAACAAATTATGTATTATAAATACACTTTGTTATCGCTTGTAAGAATATTATAAATAATACAATGACTCTAACTTTATAATACTATAAATTTTTTTTATTCTGTTATAAAAAAGTTTATATATATATATATAATCATATATATGTAAAATATGTTAATTCGTTTTTATATATCTGCACCAAAATTAATAGAAATACTTATTATAGATAATTAATAGAAAATTATTATAAATTCACTCATGCGAGCAAAGGATTTGTACTGATTATAATTAAATGTTAAGAGTTTATTTAAAGTTCAAATAAATAATTCACGAAAGAATAAGAACTAATTCTATGTGAATTTTAAAATCGCGTTCACAAGGCGATAAATTTTAGATGTCACTTTTCATAATCTTTGTCTCATCAAGAAATTATTTTGCTTGAATTTATTTTCCTATGTCTGCTAATTCTGCGAGAAATGATTTACACTTATTCTGGAGTACTTTAACGGCTTCTGTGAATAGCACGGCTGGTGGTAATGTTCCCACAGATTCTATGGTGACTATAAATAATTAATTAATTAATTATACACAATCATACAAACATAAATATATATATATATATATTACATATAAACTTTCTAACTATCATAAGCTGTAGCTTCAACTTGCCCAAAAGAAAAAATAATTCGTATAACACAATGATAGTAACAAATCTTAATTAATTCTTTTTCAATGATTCTTTTTCAATGAGATTATTTATACTTACAGATAAAATGATCCTTTACCCGACTCATTTCCACACAATTCTTTAGCTGATCGTAACGATAAACGTTTCTGGAACAACTATCGTAACGAACATTTTTAACACGCGCTTCCCGGTACTTCTGACCTGAGTTTGTCTCTTGTTCTACTACTTCTATCACGCCGGGGCTGAAACAACTCTTCAAAAGATCCGCGTCTTCATCTCTCACGGGTTTGATTAGCTGAATGGCCGGTAAGAGACGATATGATGCAGTAGCTAAACATATTATATAATACTGATATAAACAATTTATTTTAAACTTAAAAATTAAAAAATAACATTATATTTGTCTATCTGTTTAATTTATGATATTTATATTAGAATATGAGAATTAAAAAAATGTTTTATCAGCAAAATTCTTACGTACCTACGGGAGAAAATTTGGCATGATCTTTGCCGATGCCTTTAACTGCATGCATAAACAAATGAATCTCATGACCAGGACGCATTTTACATATTAATATGTCGTTTTCTAAAATACCAATTTGTTCTGCTTTAAACTTCTCTGCTTGCCGGCCTATTGGTACCCATTTAATGTCCTTACTGTAAACTGTAAGAAGAATGCTACATGTTATGTATTTTATTTATGATGTTCAGAAACTAATATAATATTAAGCCTTCTTTGTACTGAAGTATACTAAAACTTTTTCACTTTTGCCACTTCAAATCAATATATCAATTTCAATTTAAGCATGATATAAGAATAATAATGATATAAGAAAATTAATTTTTTATTATTGTTAAAATCTTTTATGTCATAATTTTAAATACGAGTATATATTAGTTCAGCTAGAAAGAATAAACCTATAAATTTATGAAAGTCAAATCGTCTTTAGAATGTTTAACAGTTTAACGACAAAAGAATTTTTTATCAGATGAAAAACTTAAATTCAGTTCCTGTCCTATCATTTCACATATAATTAATTAGAAAAATATTACATTGTGATTAAAATAACGCGTGATTTTGCATGATAGTGATTGACTTATTATAGATTTTGAATTTGATGTCAATTTCATCCCATGTATGTTTTGGTTTTACAAGAGATTGTGAAAAATTATGAGTAAGAGTATAAGACAAGTGATATAAATTATCCAACTTATAAACCTATACATTTTATTTATATATTTTATTGTGATTAAGAAATTAAATAAACAAGATTGTTTTAAAAAAATTGTTGAAATCTGATCAGTAATCGAAAATTTAATAATAAGAAATTCAGTGAAGCACCTTTGCTATTTTTGTACATATCCTCTGGAAGACGAGAATTCTTAGGTGCTTGTGGATTTATATTGCACGTAACTTTCAACTCATATCTTAGAGTATCATTATCACTGACTGTATCATCTGTTTTTTTGTCATTCGGAGAATATTCGAATAATCTAGGATCTGCACGAAGAGGTATAAGTCCCAATCTTAAAAGCAAATTACATGTTAATTTGTTATATACAATTTTCATGAACATAAAAATAGAAAAACCTTGTTATTTCTCTCACCTATGTGCAAGTACTTCGTCTTGAATCAAGCTAGTATTATTTATAATATAAACCTTCTCAATAGCCATACTTGGTACTTCACTCAGTAATGTCCTGCGGAATGCATTAACTAGCGAAGTATGACAGCCACTTATATCAAATTCCATTTCTTGATCTTGTTCTTGAACTATATTTATTTTCAGGTTCTACAATAAGAAAAATATTTTTACTTATACTATATACTTATATTTTTATACTATATACTTATAATGTTTTTACACATATTGATATACATATTAATACATAATATATTGTTCTCTTTATTACAATGTGTTACCTTTATAAATTTCTCCAGCAGCGTTGATCTGTCTGTCGTATTACACATATATTCCTCAAACTGTTGAAACAAATTTATATTATATATATACTATATAAAATGCAAAATGCTTTTAGCGAATCTTAATAAACTTACATTTTCATATTCTTTCATAATCCAACGCGGTTCCCGATTATTCTCCATTGTTTAATATAAATTATACTTCTGCAACTGAGATTTGTACTGTTTTTTTTCTTCTTTTCAATAAGAAGTACTAGACTATCTACTTATTTCTTTAAATATTTTTCTTAACTTGCACTATTCGCGCACACTTTGCTGTTTTTTTTTTTTAATAATACAGACTAACTAATCGATAATTAAATTATCAAATAAAATACTTATTTTTTATAGTTATAATTTTTATTTAATATAGAAACAAATAATTAAATTAGAAATGACGAATTATAGCAGAAAATTTTAAGTAGATAAATACAGGGTCCGGCAAAATGATCTCCCACATTTTAATCTTTAATAATTTAAAAATGTGGGAGATCATTTTGCCGGACCCTGTATAAGTTTTGCCGATTGAATTAATTAGGATTTAACTCGAAAATCAATTGACTCCGAGAAAGTAATACAGGAACTGAACGTTAGAATAACGCTAAGTTCTCGTGATACCTTTCGTGATCGTATGCAAATCCTATAAACTCCAAAATCTATGAAGTTATCCCATGAAAATGAAAAACGTGGATTCCCGCACATCATCAGTTAATTGTCAGTTTACTTTAACACAACCCTCTACTTCGTTATTTCATCTGATATTTGAATAACGAGATACACCGTGGAATAAGTTATACTTTACCCAAAAGATATTTTAAATATTCTCAAATTGGAATGAGAGAACAACCATGTGTTTTAACACTATTCGATTACCGGTTGCCATTATGAAAAAAAAAATCCAGAGCAGCAGTGTTTTTTGTTAGAACAGAGTTGCTAGCATGCTCTTTTCTGCGCATGCGCGATATTTCAGTGTCATGAATTCAGCAATACGCATTACATAATTTTATTATCCATGTTTTTTTATCTGCACTTTATGTTTTCGAAAAGAACTTTATTTCGCTACAATATGTCATTAATTTTGTAATATAATTCTATAATATTATACAATATATTAGTTTGTTTGCATTGCTTGAAATCCCCAAAAATGTTTGCACTTAAAAAGGGATAAATATTCAAGCGTTGAAAAGAGAGAGAACGACGATAAGTGCAAAAAGTGCAGCAACGCGACAGACCGAGTAACGCACCACATGACATGGAATTCTCTTTCTACTGTTGGTCAAATTTTGAGGCAAAAGGGGAGGAGAAAGAGAGAGAGAGAGAGAGAGAGAGAGAGAGAGAAAGAATGGGTGCAAGTGCAAAGGATAAACGTGCAGAGAGAAAGTGCAAGTAAAACTGACAGCAAGTGTATGTGTCACTTGTCAATTGTATGCTTCAGAATGGAAATAAGAACGTAGTAACGCGTCATTTGAGTTTAACACAGTGATTCGCGATTATGGTCAATCTGGACGAGTATAGAGAGAGTGTACGACAACTCAAACAATACGCGGCCGTTCACAATGTATCAGAGGCGCAAACGTCGGAAATATTTCAAGCTTGTTTTCGACAATTGGAAGCCAAGTACTCGAAAAAATCAAAGAAACAATCGAGATCTCTGCGAATTATTTTATCACTAGTTTTTATCTCCATCATACTGTTATGCTTATGCCAAAGCTGGTTAAATGTTATATTTATAAGAATTTCGCAAAACTCCATTTATCCCGCTTTATATATGTTGCGTAAAGCAGCTGTACCAATTGTCAACTTATATCCGTCGCTATCTGGTTTGTAATCCTCGAATGATTAGTATATTAAACTTTTTATTAGAATAATATAAAAAATTATATTAGGTGTTGGAATTAATTCGTAGCGTTTTTTAATGAAAGAATGTTATTTATTTCACATGAGCATTAAAAAATACATTAATGAAAGTACTTCCCATCACTTGTAAAACGCTACGAATTAATTCCAACACCTAATAGTATAAAAGAAAGTACCTTAATGTTTACATATTTAATAATATTTATTACTTCAGAATTATATGACGAATGGTGCTTGATAGAGAATCCGTATTTCTATGTCAACGATATGGACTGCTGGCCTTGTACTATGGTCCATTCTGTACTAGATTTAACTGGTCACAATATCAGCAGATCCTTTAACATCGGTATACCATATACTAGAGCAGAAAATAATACAATTGTTAAGATGAAAGATCTAATTAATTTATATTGGAGCAACCAAGATGTCTTTGATGAAGATGCTAAAAGAATTTTTTCTACCAATGAAACTTTTAAGTAAGTTTTCACGTATACTGTTAGAAATTTCGTTATGAAGTAACATGTAAAGGAAGCTTATGGTTATGAAATAATAAACTGAAGTAATAAATGGTTAAACTGAAAACTAAGTTACAGTAGTTTTAAATAAATATGTATATTCAAGTAATATTAATATGCAAATCTACATAAAATTTTATGGAAAGTATGTTAAATTTCATGTACATATATATGTACTTTTCAGTTACAAATATATTAAATTTAATGTAATGTTATGAAATTAAACTTGTATAACTTAAAAATATATTAAATTTTATGATATTTTTAACAGTGTATTCTCTAAAATCTTTGGAATGGAATCTCGCTCTAAATATTGAAAGAGTGACAGAACTTTCAATCATTAAAAATGAAATTTTACTCTAAAAAAATTTAAAAAGTTTTATATTGATTCGAAATATTAATTCGAATTTGACAGAATTTATAATTATATAACATCTATCTGATCAAACTGTATGTGATATACGTTTGCACAGAACTATCCGTGATGTTATGGATAATAGATTGGATATCTTCCACACTGCTTCTCTTTCTACTCACATATCTTGGAGAATAAACCGTATGAAGCCCAATAGAATACTCCGAAAGTTATTTCCAAAGCCAATGGAGACTCCGAATTGGTGGAGTCAAGGCACAGAGAAATATATTTTCATCGACGAGTCGGAATCATCGCCTTATCCATTGGTAGACAATGCATTCTAATTGCTATATCTTAGCAGATCTTAGCTATAAGTCAATTTATGAATTTTTAGCCCAATCCTGAATGTAGTAATATTGTAATACGATGCGTAGCCGGTGCAAGACTGATAAAAATGACACCAAGCTCGGAATGCGTTCAACATTGTAGATCTTCAACCATTTTATTGTCCGCTGGACATACATGTGAGTATTAGAGACCATAAATGATCTGCGCTCTTTTTTTTATTTCTATTTTATTTATATTATACATTTTATTTTCTTCTTTTATGTTCTTAAGTATGGTACAATTGGTGGTATTGGAGACCCGTGAGTCTACCAGTGTATAATGCTACTGCTCTTTCTATTGGTTATTTAACTTCGTTTTGTTAATATCACCGATAGGAAAAATATTATAGATATGTACCACAATAATGTAGCTAATAATGATGAAGCCATATTTAATAAAATTTATTAAGTTTATCTGCATTTTTCCTTCGTATTTACGTTTTATATATATAATTTCAAATATTAATTCGTGCATATAAGATTGTTTGCAGATTTAGATTTTTCGAGTGGAGTATTATTTCTGACAATACAATAACGCATGAAATAAAAAATGAAAATCAGCATCCTATCAACAAAGAATTTCCTGAGATCATTTCCTGGCATAATATTGTCTAAAATATAGGTATATTTGTGACACTCTAACTAATAAAATAAGTCTGTTTCCACTTTCGCCTATATTTAGTTTACATTTTTAAATGTCTCCACATAATCTAAAATACACTTGTAGAAATAAATTACAAATAATAATAAATAAGTTATGCGAAAATTGTTGTGCTCGCAAGAATTTGTCGTACTATTTTGTACGTATAATTCATGTGTCCAAATGTAAATAACTACACGGTGCGAAAAAGCGGACTCTAATCCCAATTCGCATTCGATATAATTTTTTTTTTCAATTTCCTAAGAGATTATCAGAAGATTCTGCTCCATGATAGGAAAGTTTTCCTCGTAAAATATCAGATTGTCACCTTGATGATATCGTCAGTGGAGCATTCTCTGGCGTTTACTCGAACTTCTGCTTGAGTTTCTGCTTGTACAACACAGGTAGTAGGGAGAACAATGCAAACACACACAGTACGATTACACTGTTCCACGACCACGCATCGCTCGACGACGTGAGGTTGTGCAATGTTTGACCCGCCTGTATGGCGACGAAGGAAGGCGGCGCGACGCCGAAGAAGGTGCCGACAGTGAACGGCATTATTGGCACACCAATTACCGGGCTGGCTAAATTGATGAACCAATTTGGCAGTAACGGCGTCATCCGGAGGAATAACATATAGTTTAGTAGATTATCACGATGTTTGGTCACGGTAATGGTCCACTCGTTTGCCTTTTCTGGAAAGTATCGATACAGCAATCGCCTGCCCAGCAATGAGGACAGCAAGTAGCACAGAGTGGCGCCGATTGCACTACATGTACATACGAGTATCAGCGCGACCGGAAAACGGAACAGAAATCCGGAAAGAATTGAGAGAAAAATAGAGCCTGGAATGGCAAACGTTTGCAGGCTATTGAGATATAATGTAAGGAACATATTGTCTTAATAAGCTCTTTTTCGGAAAATGTTCTGGTACTCAAGTTGAAGTGAAACAAATATAAAATACGGTCAATATCTCATTATAACTACTACAAAGCATTGATTGAGCTAATAAAAAAAATTTACTAATTGTTCCATCAAAGAGTGCAGCTTGTTTTATTTCAATTTATCAATGTATACCAGTTCAGAACAGTTTTCGAAAAAGGACAGATTAAAAGCAAAGATATGTGACTAGTGCCCGTATTCATAGTCAGACCTTGTACTTAAGGCTTCCTTAAATTTATCTTTAGATGCTCAGCAGCCAATGAAATAATTCGTAGAATATCTAAAGATATTTTAGGAAGTCTTAAATATAAGGGCTAACTATGAATATATGGGTATAGAATATTCAAGGATACAAGATGTAGATGATAAACAGTCCAGCCAATACTTGGAAGTAATATAAATCCTTATATCGTTCTAACAGTTTTCCCAAATTCTTGGCATCTTCTATGTGAAGCGGTAGCTTCATATGCTGCTTTTCATCTCTATAAAAAGAATACACAAAGGCTCCATTATTATATCCAATACAATGTACAAAGTATGAACACAAAGATATACAGATGAATGACTGTTCTTACTCTTCTAAGTCTGGAAAACTCGTGTACACATAAAATAACGCAGTCAACGAGGCCACAAAAATGAGTCCAACAGTTATTACTGCTCTTCTTGTCGAAGCTTCATTATTGGCTGCTTTAGGCACTCCTACAAAGAATATAAAAATTTATATATTTATATATTAAATATATTTAATATAAAATTTAATTTTGTTAATCTTCTATTACAACTTTCGCGACTAAACATAAAAAAAAAGAAAACAATATATTTTAGCTGCTTCGGTTTTGCAAATCGGAGATATTTGTAATCATTCTATTCTTGTTCACTGAATTCGGAGCTTCCGATTTGCGAAATTAAATGCAGCTATTACATTTAGTTTCAAAATAAAAGAGAAACTAAAATACATGAAATTAAATATTGAGAGTAAATCGAAAAATATATCAAATCTATAATAGATGTACAAATACAATAAGTAAATACTGAGGGCCACGTGGATTCACTGATATTTTTTTTTACTCGACTATCATCGAATTACTTACGCGCTTTTACACGTGTCACTTTGAGATTGCGTCGCGCCATTTCTGATATGCGTGCACGTTTGCTGATCGACATCTAAACACGCCATTTCCCGGCACATTTCCCTCGCAAAAAACAATCACGCGATCGCGATGTCTCACCTGATCTTACGTCAGCCTGCGGGCTCATCGTTCGCCTTTCTCCGGATATCGCTTTCGCGAACTCGGTTTCTATAATCCGCGCGCTTTCTCGTCCAGTCTCGTCTCAGTGCATATCGTACGAATGCAACTGACGTGTAATATCAGTGTTAGAACGGCTGCACCGTGACGAGAAGGATCTTCGAATCACAAGGCTGATAACAGCTTCTTTCGCTTTTAGCGAAAATCAGCTGACAGCCTCGTGTTGTCTCGGCATTGGATGATTGGACACGTTTGACCATAGACTGCGCGTTTCCGTTATAAGTATAAAGATCGTTAAACACGTCGGCAATGTAGTTTTGCACGTTTGCACTTTCAATCATCTCTTCATATGCGTATTTTTTTAAGTTTTATATACTGGTTTTATTATACCGGTCTCATAAAAATTTGAAAAAATTCTTGCATATGAAAAAGCTTTAACAACAACAAGTTTTTGCTATTATATAAATCTCAGATTGTATTTCATATTAATTTTTTTACAAATTTATGTACCAGAATTCGCAATTAAAATAGACATTATAGACAATCCAAGACAGTTCAAGTTTGCTAAAATGTTAATAAGATCGAGAGAAGAATAGTGAGTCTGTGCCTTTCTTACAATTGTATACATATAACATAATGAGGAGAAAAGAAAAACAATTAATTTATATATTTTTTTGTTTAGAAAGAGATGCAATACATGTTATAGAACAAATTTGCTGTATCGACAGTCAATAAGGTAGTGATTGATAAAATTAATTTAAAAAAGCATTTCTCAATCCAATTAATCACTTTTTAACATTCCATTGTTCTTTATTATTATTATTATTATAATATTAATCATAAAGTTTAAATTGAAAAAATAAATTTCTTTGATATATATTTAAAATATCAAGTAACATAAATATTATAATTTCATATAGTAGTATAACTGTTATATAACATATATTACACTTTTACTGTTGAGCATAAAATGATACATTAATGTTATATTACTGTCATATTTAGTGTTTATATGAATAACGGCTCTAGTCCTCTACAACACAAAGTTGCATAAAAGTTGCAGCAACACTGTGAAAAATGAAATCGACGTTAATTTCATTGTCATTTTTCGCAGTGTTGCTGCAACTTTTGTAGAAATTTTGCAGCAATATTGATATATAAGTTTTTTTATTTTGAAATAAAATCATTTTAACGGTCGTTCAATCAGGAGATATTTGTATCGCTTAAAGGAAACAGAATGCATAATTTGTTTAAAAATTTTTATCAAGATAAAATGTATCTATAACATTATAATTATGATTTGAGCTGTGACTCGTACAGTATATTTCAAGCAACCAATAGTTCTTTTTTTACTCCTCGATTGGAATTATGAAGAATATTCTCGTCTATTTTGGTACTTCCTTTCCTTTCCTTTCTTACTATTCTGCCACTCTTCAAGCAGTTGAAAAGTGGAAGACATGAGACTTTACAGGATACGATTAAAATAATTTCCTTGACGTCTTTAGAATGGAATGTGTAAAGGATCTAATTATATTCTTATACATTCAAAATTGCCAATTTTGACGTCAATAATGATTAAGAACAAGAAAAAATAGTACAAAATATTAATAATACTTACGTTACGCGAATCAATTTAAGAAAATTTTAAGTCTCTAGAAATTCTAAAACAGCTAAAAAAATCATTTTTAAGTTGTGCAAGAAATCTATGTGTACAAAAAAAAGTGAGGCACTCGATATAAAGAATGAAATATTTTTCTAATCTTAATTACTATCAATTGAGGATTATGCTACTATTAATTTTTTAATTTTTATTTTAGTTTTTTGCAACAAGACCTTAAAAAATAGCGCATTTCAGAAAGTAAACAATAATTTAAATTAAAAATAATTAAAATTAAAACAATTTTTTTTTAAAGTTTTACAAAATTAACTTAAATATCCAATCCCAAAAGTAGAACACAAAATTATAGTAAGATCAAAATAACATCGAATTGAAGCATTTTAGGAAAAATTATGATGCTATTCGAGACACTTTTAACAATGATTTTGTAATGAATTCTTGATATAACAATATCATTTGAATTAATTTTTTAATTAAAAATTATATCAAAAAATTTATCAAAAAATCGTCGTTAAAAAAGTGTCACAGTGGGTATAATAATATCGTTGTGATTCTTTCTAAAATAATTTCTACTTGATATCATCTTGATCTTATTATATGATTTTATCTAGGATCCAAATAAATATTATACGGTTATACATACACATTTAAAACTAAAGAAATTATGAAAATAATTAATAATGCATATATTGGGTCATTTAAAAAGTATCCGTGGTTTTTTCATTCAAAAATTGAACAAAAAACCGCGGATACTTTTTAAATGACCTAATATTGTTAGAGTATGTGTGTTAGAGTATTATTAATCTATAAATCCTAATATTATATTTCACGTGATGTTAAAATGTAATTTGTAAATATTCTATATTTTTCACTTCTGTATATTTTACTATATAATAATATTTTACTATAATATTCAATGTGACACAATCGTCGGCGCTATTTGACACAATAATATATAGAAAGGAATACGGAAGCGGGCGGAAGGAGAGAGAAAGAGAATAAAAGAGTAAGAGAGTAAAAGTAGAAGTAGGTAAGGCTCTCTCCTTCGTTCGTTGACGACAGACCAGCTCCAGATGCTGTCTGCCTAACTAAACGAGGCAACTAAACGTATGTCAAGATCACGCTGGGACGATACTTTGGGACATCTCGCCGTGGAAAAAGACAGGAAGTGGAAACGTCTTCTGACGTGAACCTAGGAATTGCCTGGATCGGCTCAGGAGCGGACTAAACAAGTAGATTCAAAATGTATTTACTTTTCGCTATGATGATTGGGCTTAAAATAATAATAAGAAATATATGAAATAACATTTAGGCAGTATATATTAAAAATAAAACGAGAAATTAAAAAGTGTCAATGATATTAAGGATGTTTTGGCTAGGCAACATTAGCTAAAAGTATCTGTTAAAGATCAGCTATGAAAAAATATTTAATTAATTAATAGTGAAACATTTAAACTAGTTAATTAAAAAAATTATGTTATAAATATAAAATTATCCTAAAACTATCTACAAAAAAAAAATAAATTAACAAATAATTTAGTTTTATGCAGCGAATTGATCATACTTTACTGCAGTTTTATACCATACAAAAAATACTCTATTTTTTTTTAAAGACAAATGTAATAATTTTAAGATAAAGAATTACTATATAATTTATAGGATTTAGAATAATCACTATAATTTAGGACTTAGAATAATTACCCAAAAGAATCCCAGTAAACACGCATGTCTTACAGATATTTCAAAAGACAACTTAAAAGAGGCGTCTGTAAAACTTTTTTGAAAAGACGACTTTAAGCTGACTTTCAGTCAAGTTTTAAAGACAACTTTTTTAAAATGTCATTCAGTCATTTAAGATATTATTTAAGTCATCTTTAAGATTATTTAAGATTAAGTTTTAAGATATATTTGAGAACAAAAGATAAGACATATATTTTTATAAAATAATTCATAAAATTTAACTGATGGCGATATGACGCATTTATACAATAATATACGCATTTATACATATCGCATGTAAAATACGTGGTGCTTTCAGTATTGTCGGTATTGTGCTTTAGTTGCTTATTGAATTCTTTCGACTACTTTCTGTTTCCGGCAATTCCGGAACGCCGAACCGTCTATATACTAAATCATATATGTGTACATTGCAATATCTTATAAATATTTAACAATGGCTATGTTCTCTGGTATACATTGTCAGCACTGAAAATCTATAGTATTCGTAACGTAAATTGCCGATTTTCGAAAATCTATAGTTTACGTTATATATATTTAAAGATTTTCAATACTATCAGTGTAAATCAGAACTCGGCCAATATAATCTATAGAAATTGTAATGTCCAAAATTATTCTGAAAGACATCTGAAGAATGACATTATAAAATGTCTCAAAAACGTCTTATAGACATTATAGGGACTGTCTGAAAGACAACTATTAAAATGTCCAAAACGTATCTTATATGACGTCTGACAGACATAAGACGTCTTAAAGACACTTTAAAGACATCTTTTAGTAAAAAATGTCAGACGTCCGAGGGAACGTTGAGTCGTCTTATGCTCACTTCCATCAATGTAGATTAACTCTAATCTCGGTTCTAATTTTTAGAACTAGAAAAAGATGAAGAGTAAGTTGAACCGAGATTAGAGTTAATCTACATTGATGCCCTATTAACGGGCATTAAAGGCGTTCTTTAAGACGTCTTATTATTTACTGGGATCAGGGATGTATGTTTCAAATAAATTTAAATCCATGGTTATACATTCGATGTTCGCATTGAATGCTGCCAGCTCTGTTGACTGACGCTTTCGAGAGCAATAACGCGTATGTACGCCTCGTCACCGTTAACTAGTCTCGCTCCTCCATCCGTTTCCTTCCGTTTTCCTAATTCCGTTTCCTGATTCGTAACGCTCGGCGGACCGGCCGCGGCGGCGAGTACGCGAATAACGAAAGCCGCGTGAATGAAACGATCATATATTAAGTTTCTTCGACGGGACGCGGGGAATAAATTTACACCTATAAGTCTGAATGATATCGCCGTTGCGATCGCGCCGGTAATGAGTCCCGCCCCGAGATGAATTAAGGCACCCGAAATGATCTTCTTCTTCTTAATTGGCATTGTCTTCAGACGAAAGCAACCTAGTCCAATGTGAAACAAAGAATAGAATTCATAATCAAAAAATTTATGTGAAGTTAATGATGAAGAGATGAGAATTATGAACTTGATACAACAGCGAATCAATTACAGAAGATACTTTTAATGGATAAACGATGAAGGCCGCTGCTCAAAGAATATATCAAATCAAGAGAAAGTCAAAAGGAGACTTTATTTTGACATCAAAAATCAAAATGATGATTTTTTTCAGAAGAGATCATTTTGTAATATTATTATTTAAATTTATCAGCGATTCAAAATTCGACAAATCTCGATGATCTAAATAAATACGCTATCTTTGTCTTAAAATTATCACATCTATTAAAATAAGTGAAGTATATCCTATTGAATATATGTATACAATTAATATCTAAATTACTATTACATTTTTTTAATATTATATTAGAGTATCAATTAATACAGTGTGGTTCGACTTAAGATTGCATGTGTCACATGTCAAAACATTACCAAAAATAT